TTCAGAAAAAATCTAAGATTTATCTTATCGACGTCAAAATTTCTATAAAATAATTCATTAAAAATATGAATTTAAAGAATATCAATCGAAAAAATTAAAAAATATGAAATAATAGCTAATTATCTTCAAAAAAAAAAATATTAAAAATAGAATTATAAATAAATAAATAGAATAATAAGAATTATAGAAATAATAATAGTAAAAAATAATAAGAAGAATAGATTGTATATAATGAGAATATATAAAATATATTATTATATTTATCAGGCATCTTCTCAAAAAAAAAATATTCTAATTTTAGCCCGAGAAATTAATTTAGCCCATATAAGTTCAATAAAAATTATTTTTCTAATCATCCCTTTTCTCGTGGAACAATTTGGGTCTTCACCTTGGTTTCGTTAATAATTCTATATGGTAATGCCTTTCCCATTGCGGAATGATTTGGGTCTTGAAATCGGTCCCCGCCTGCACCTTCTATTGACCAGAGGCTTCCCCTTATATCTTGGGCGGATAGCATTCTTCGAGTATAGTCATATATTGGGGCACAAGTCCGGCCGGCCGGTCGTATTGGGGGGTGCGACACCTTCCCCGATTCTTGACAGGTTCGGTGTGCAACCATGTCTGCATCAGGGCCGAAGGGCTTACGCACTCAACTCTCGTTCTCGTTCTTCTTCCAAGGGGTAAAGGTCCGATCAACTCTGTCTGTCTCCCTCGGAAACCTCAATATAATTTTGGACCCTCTTGCGCCAGTGTCCACCTATGCATTTTGCATGGTAGTCGTCGGCTTTGTATTGTTAACTTGAACCATCCTCGAAAGGATTCTCGTCTCGAACGGTATCATCGCTCGCCTTCTTCGGCCTGGGTATGGGAGCAACATGCTGACCACGTCACTCTGCCAAGACCCTTCACAGATGGTCAGCCGCAGCATGATTTGTGTTTGTCTGCGCTATATACACTGGCTTGGCAGTCCATCGGGCAGCTTTCATGAAAATCGTTGTGCTTTTAACTCAGGCCAAGACATCAGCTGGCTGCAGGCTCACGTTTGCGGCCGGCTTTGCAGTTTCCGAACGTCGCTGGGCCTCGTGAACAACCTGCACGCACTGCGTAAGCACGGTCAAGTACGAAGCCTGCAGGGGCATGCCACGATTCCAGCCTGATCCCAGTCCAATGACAGAACGATGCCTGCCACGGGCCGGGGTGAAGAGACAAGTCTGTGGGGCATGCAGAACATGGATGCCATCAAAGCCTCCGTAGAGAAGGACAAGGAGGCCATACCCAGCAGCAACGCCGGTGTATAGGCCAAAGAGATCCTCAGAGGGCAGGATATGCAAAAGATCTTGGGCACACGATGGCGCGTGGAAGTGCCAAAGTTAGATGACCGGCATGGGCATCGATGATGTTATGAGCTTCTCGGTGGCCACAAATATGAACGACAGAGCTGAATTCATCGTCATTTAATTTCAGGTCATGGTCATGCCAAACCCCGGAACAAGCATAAATGAGATGCTGACCTTCCGCCAGAATGCAGTGCAAAGGACTACACCTCAAGCACAGGTTCAGCTGAGGGTGCAATGCACAGAATGACGGGATCTCCCTGCCCGGGATCCCTCCTGCCTGGAACTTGACCCAACCTCTGATGCAAAGTGTCAAGTTGCATTGGGATTTCAGAGAAGCGACTGGACACACGCAACCGCAGCCAAAGTACCATGAGCCCGCTAGCCCAGCATAAAACACGGCGTTGACTCGTCCGGCAGCCTCAGCAGAAGACCGGAACAAACTTGGAGAGGGATGCCCCGCGCTGGCCGGGTGGCTGAAAGGAAGTCGTAGAGCGGACGAAAGCATGGGTGTGGCTTCTCTGTCACGGTATAGGGGCAAGGAATCAGATTTCGTGTCACATGCTTGTCGGCAGACATCTAGGAAAGATGCCATCGGGATCCTCTCCAAGTTGACCTGCAGTACACTTACTGCGTCTCCCACTGTGTGAAAGAAAAGTTGAGAGGCTCCCACTGACAGATTCATCAGCACCTGATGCACAGCTCTCCCACAACAGCTCGGGAGTCACATATCATGTCAAGTCTGAGCACAGCGCGACGAATGCCGCAAACGGCCATCGAGTGTACTCGAACAAATCCATGACGGCGGGGTCGTCGGAGAAGATCCGCGCAAGCGATCTAGGGATGCACCTTGGCATCGAAACCAGGCCCCCGCATTACAGATCTCAAGCACGATCGCTTCCCGTCCGGGGCTGCTGCACAATGACGAAGCCCGTGATGACGAGGATTGCTAGAGCCATAGCGGTCCTGTCACGGGCACGTGATTGTCAACATAAGTCTGCTTTGCATGATACAGTACCACGAGGCAGTCCCGACCCACGCCGAACGCTTTGCATCCGCAGTGCTTCCCTGCACATGGCCGCATTGCATCATACGGGTGACCGGATCCGCTGGTTGCGCAAAACTGTTTTTCGGAAACTGGTTTCGATGTACGTTGAGCGGGTGCAGCCATCAAGCCTTCCCGACCGCGATGCTGAGCTGCGTGGCAACCGCCCCTGCTAAAGCTCCCAGAAAGGTCAGGGCCATCCAGCCTGGTCAACAAGACGCTCGCAAGCATGGCTGTGTCCATTGCGGAACTCATGTGAAGTGGTGACGTGCAGCTGCTGGAGGCTTGTCTTCGCGAAGCCTGCCTCTCCGTGCTACCCGTTACGTCAACGAAAACTTTCAAGGCCCGGGCAGATTCTATAGCTTGAGTTGAAGACCTGACCAGCAGAGAGCGGGGCGAATCTGCGCTGAATACATGAACGAAGGCACTCGACTAAGTGCAGATGCGGACTTTTCTGAGCTGATGGCCGCAAGATCGTCGGGCCCAAGGTTTGAGGCGATGGCGCCAATCACTGTTACTCCTGCGAGGAATCGCAGCACCGGTCTAATAGCAAGCATCGCAGCGTTGTCCGAACAAACGCTGAGGGCGTGGCGCCAGAAATCGGAACCTATTGAAAGTGCCGCCGGTAAGTACATCTTCCTCAGGATGACTGACAACACTTCGAATGATTCTGCAAGTGCGATTTGCCCATTTGTATTGCACTTTTAAGTCTTTGGGCGGTGGGCTCGAGCACACCCTCAGATCGATCTTTCGACAAGCATTCCCTCTCCTTCCCTCAAACAGGCTTAACGCCCTAACGCTCTTCGAAAACCGCTTCTGCGGGGAATCTCACCTCGACCGCAGGAGACCCTCGCGCGACGCGTGCATGAAGCTTAGCATCGTTTGAAGATGGGTTCAGAGGAGTCTGCAAGACAAGCCTTCAAAAGAGCAAAACCATAGCATGCGGCCACCTCCTGTGTCTTGGCTGTTTGCGTGTCCGGGTGAATGCATTCCCTGCGAAATTGATTTGATGGGCTACAAGTGCAAGCGATGCACCCTTCCAGAGGCCTGAGATGTCAATGAATGTCACTGATTGGGATCAACAGTCTCCTAACAATCGGCACGTGCACATCTCTCTGGAAACCACTATGCCGTTTTCCTTGTTTCATTCTGTCAGCTTCCATTTCAAACTGGTAAACTCACCCATGACTGGACGGATCCTGACTGCCCTCCTGTTATTCATCTTGTCGGCAGCTTCATCTTCTGCTGGGTCGGTACATCGCTTGGAAAGTCCTATGTGCTCCAGCCCGACTTGGTCAGCGGCACGTACTGTACCACTCGGGCTCTGGTGACGTGCTCCTGCGCATGGACGCAGGGAGTGAGGCTCAGGAGGGCTCACCCGGAATGCAGAGGTCCATGGACCAGCCAGGCCAGCATTCTTTGTGCAGCTGCTGCCAGTAGCAATAGACGTACCTATGTCCAGAGTGTATGTTCGGAGTGGTGCATCCCTGAAACCCGGCAAGCACAGTCAAACAGCCAAAAGCTGTGAATGGGCACCATAAAACGAAAAGCTGAATGAACTCCACACACGTGGTTACCTTGACGCATGAGTTGCGAACTCTGTAGATCATCATCTTCTCTAAGTAAGTGTCGGGCCCAAGGGCAGGCAGGAAATCCCAATCCACTCCAGTTCGGAATTCCGAGGCCTGCAAGCAGCATGAAGCTTTAGCATGGTCGGGTGCAGCAAAGCCGAAGCAGTTCAGCCAAGTTGCCCAGAACCAGCACCAAGTTTCCGATCAGATTCATAACCATGCCGGTCACAGAGCAGACGACCTCTGATGAGGCCGTTGTTTATTAAAGGGCTCTAGTAACTGTCTCTCGGCAGCAACTTCCGTGCCGAGCGGCGGCGGGTCTCATGATCTTCTGGGAGCTGAAGAAGCAGTTCAGCTGAGAGAAGCCTCGCACGTCGCTCGGTCTACAAGACTCGCTCTCGCACCTCGCTCGTCTCATCTCGTCTCTCTGTCTCGCTCTTGTCTCGTCTCTATGCTGAGGGGCCAATGCGAACGGGAAGGCACAGGGCGAGCACCAGCGCGTAGTAGCTTGCATCAGAGACTTCCTCCAGGACTTTAGGCTAGGAGAAGCAGAAGCCGGCAGCGAGCTGGAACATGAGGAAAAGGGGACAAGCTTCAGCACAAGGCTGATCTGCGACACGAGCGCTACATCAGCCCGGACAGAGTCTGTCCTGAGGCGTCTTGTGGATCGCATGCAAGACCGGGCCGGTCAAGATCCAGCAGACGGCCACAGGCCTTACGGAGAAGCAAAACAGAAGAAGAGTATATCGGCTGCACGGTTGCAAGGCGTCCACGCCGATCACATGTCTGACAAAACGGCAATCGAAGCAGCTGGTTACCTCCTGTCCGAACCCATAGGCATTAGCCGGCAAGACATCGGCGGCATAGTACAACCCTGCTTTGGCTGCATGCTTGCAAGCACTTCTTGCAATCAGGGCACAGCATAACGCAAAGAAGTACAACGTAAGAAACCTGCACAACCACCAGTTCAAGAACTTTGTGTCATCACAAAGATCTGGCAGTTCAGGCTCGAGGCAGTGTCCAATCCGTCTAAACAGAAGTCACCACATCAAGGTAAGAAGATGTCACCTGAAGCCAGATCCCAACCAGCCTCAGCTAAGCAAAACAATTCAAGTCCGCCAGTCTTTGAAAATTGAACACCACAAGCGGCTGATTGCTGAAGAAATCGTCCGAGTCACATCTTGTTCCCTGCCCCGAAGGCTTGGCCACAAAAAGTGCTCACCTGCTTCCCGGACTTGCCCGCAGGCTTCGCAACAACAAAAAAACACACAGGAAAGGGAGATACAGTTCGGACCAGATCATGTTGATTCATTGTCCGCATCCTTTTGCTTCTTGTCTGCCATCTACCGAGGAGCGCACGATTCTGGATTGAATGAAGACTCCACTTGAGGACGTCCTGGGCTCCGACGCAAGATTTTAGAGGCTGCCTTGCTGTCGCAGACAGCCACTTCCGCAAAATTTCGTGACGAGAGTCCAAAGGTCGCTCAGTGCAGTGGCATCCAAGTACCTAGTTCCGGTGCCTACATGGCCGAGCACTGCCGTGTCGGTGACCTGGCAATCACGAGCGTCAGGGTCTTACAAAGCACGTTGGGAATCAAGCTCGTGACACACCAACACACCACTAGATTGACTAGATGCTCTCATGCGATGACATAGGCACATCTGCGCAGGTGTCAGCCTTCATTGCCACCCAGGAGACCTAGACCAACACAGCTCTCAGGCGAAAGCTGCAGGGAGCCTTACAATCGAATTCGAGCGAGCTGCCATGGAAAGGAAAATCGGTATGGTCAGCTTGCTGATGGCGACAACTTCTTTCATGACCTGGAAGATGCAAACGGATCGGCACCCCATCTGCATCTCATAAAGGTGCTGTGCCACTGGCAAGAAGGGCTTGCTGTGCGGCACATTAAGCCACTAGCCGGTACCTACGTATATATACGACAACTGCCGGGTGGGGTCGCTAGCGGTGGAGAAACTTGCAGCGCAAAGGCACGAAGCTGCAGGCCCTGCCACTGAGTTCCGCACGGCATTGTGTTCCCGATGCTCTTCCAGGAGGACTTCGCGTCCGCTTGGAGCGACAGCCATTCCAGCAGCCCTTCCCAAGACAGACAGAGCGAGTTACACAGTGCCGCGAGGTCCATGCTGTCAAAGCTGCGGGCCTTGTTGCAGATGAGCTGCAATCAGGTGTGCCGGAATGCTGGATAAATCACAAATTCATGCTTTGCTTTCCCGATTGATGCGTCTTTCCAGCTTCAGCTCTGAGGTAAGAGTCTGCTGCAAACACCTGGCATTGCCTGGCATATTACATGTGGATGTCACTTCCAGGCAAGAAATACCTACGCAGTGCTTGAGCCGGCTTGAGCGTTAGCTTTAGCCGAGCATACGAAAACCACAAACAAGGCTCAAAGGTGCTAAGTGGACGTTTGACACTTGCGCTGAAAGGTACACGTAATGTACATGTTGGCGCTTCGCGCGAAACGTTGACTGAAAGTCCAGCGCATGTCAATTAAGACATGTGGCGACGCAGTGGCTGTCACTGCTGTCATGTTGCATTAACCGCAAGCTGCGGAGATCACTGAACGATCCAGCAGCCAATTTCATTTTCATTAACACTGATCTGACACCCGACAGGCTCGTCATGGCTCCTCCCTGTTTCTCCCCCTTAGAATTGGTGGCGCGAAACGCCGGAGGGTCTCAAGCCTGTCGGGTGTCGGGCCTTTCGGAAGATGGCGTGCCGTCTCCATCCCGCAGGCGGCGCACCCGCTCGGGAACCAAGGCCTCGCAACCGAAGCAACGCAAGTGAAATCATGTGACTTTGGCACTTTCTATGTCTGGAGGCCTCCAGTGCCTGGCATTGTCCCAGTAGCCGGCCATAGCGCATGCCTTGCTGGAGTGCGGGGCGGGCTGCATGGTAGTCCTGAGCTCCTGGCGAAGCTATCTCGGCTGCCGACCCAAACGATGCAAAGAGGAAGCCATGAGGGCCATCTCCCGGGAGTGCATGGCCTCACCGCTCATACTATGGCTTACCGAGGCGATGGTGCAGCAGGTTCGGCCTCCGCCTGGCTGGCTGCGGCTTCCCGGTGCTCCAGCCTGAGTCGGCTTTGATGGCTAAGGCACTGGGCCCTGCGATGTCCTCATGCTCCGTGAAAGCTCTGTGCTACCGGCTCCTGCTCGCGGAGCTGTATCTGTTCCTCGAGCAGCTCGGCCTCAGGGCTCTTCATTGACCGACACGAAAGCTATGCACTGCAGCTCAGATTCCGACACTGGGACCCTGCAGGGAGAGGGATCCGCGTGACAGCCTCGTTCGTGGTGTAGAATGCACAGGTCCACTGAGTTCAACTTCAACAGCCCCTGTTATTCGCAGGCCAACTCCCAACTAAAGCCGCCTAGTGAGCTCTGGCATTCCTTAGGCCGGCGGCCTGGGTATGGACTCTCCAAGCGGCCTCGACTTTTTTGAAGCCTGTCAAGTCTGCAACCACAAAAACCGCAGAGAAACAGTGGAGGCAAGGCTGCGTTCTTTCGTGCTCCATATTGAGATTACCTTCAGGGCCACGCTGAGACTGCAAAGCACTTTTGTGTGGAAGGTCTAGCGTTGCTTGGGCGGCAGCCTTTGGCCGCATGGTTTCTGCTCGGTCACTGCAGTGACGAGCCGTTAAACCGTTAACAGCCTCGATGCATCGTTTTGATGCTTCAAGGACAATCGCCGGAAAGCCTTTCTGCTCTGCAACAAAATGGACGCCCGAGACCACGAAGCGCAAACCCCTACCGAGGCAGAACGACGAACTGTTGTATGAGTACGTGCTTTAGCTTCCAGACTGTTAAAAACCATGTCTTATCTTGACTACTTCTGAGCAATCGGTCGAACCGCGAGGACATTAACCGTGCCGGGTAATTGGCCAGCCGGCTTGTGGGCACCAATGGCCTGACCTAGACTGCAAGATTCCCGGCTTGTGTTTGTCTCATCTCTCCCGTGTGATGGATCTGCCGGAGGAAGTCCCTGAAGCCTCCGACAAGGCCTGGCTGCCCTTGCTGCATTGCCGGGCGATGGCTCGAGCAAAATCGACCAATTCTGCGTGCCCGTCCGTCAAAGGGTTCTCCAGCATATTTTTCAAGGTCTCTGCCGAGGGTCGTTCGGCTCGGTCACTCAAGTCCAGGCTGGCCGCGGAGCCAGACGGCGATGGAGGGCGATCCAACGACATCACTGCTTGAAGGACCTGCAACTTTGAAGCTTCGCCAGCTTCGGACAACGCTCTCCTTGCAACTGGGCTTGGTGCTTGTGGCTCCTCGTTGTGCGTGCGAGCACTTACCTTATCGACAGCTTCGGAAACACCCTGTTGAAAGGCTGATGGTGTCAGCACCTCTGCAGCCGGCTCACCGTGCTCACCAACCTCCGTGGCACTGTCTAGCGAGGCATCCTGGGGTACTTTTGGGACTCGAGCAAGCTGCGCAGCCAGCACCAACAATCTCCAAGCCAGGTGAAGGCACCATAGCCTCGCGAGGAGTGACCACCCTGCAGAAATAGCAACCAACTTGCAGATCACGAACATTGCGCCCAAGACGATGTCGTCGATCGAAACCGTGACGTCAGAGCATGCCAGCGCACAACGCAGGTGAAGATCCCATCGCGTGTCTGGAACCTGTCTCCATGAGCTGGACTGACAGCGGTCCTCCAGATCCCAGCGGCACATCTGAAGAGCTCTCTGAAAGCCGGGCGCATCCATCCCGAGCCCCGCACTGACAAGTCGCACAGCCTCCGTCAGCGCAGCTGAGCAGGCGAGCGCATGCCAAAGGGCCGAAAGGGCAAAGAACCGCGCCCAAGCCTGACGCTTCAGGCGACAGCAGCACACACGGCTGCGCCCTGGCAAGCAATGTGCCGGTGCCCGGAGCAGCTGGAGGGTCGCTAGGCCCGAGGGCCCGAAGGCGAGCGATGGGAGCAGCAGCAGCACCGCACTGGGACTGAGGATCTGCAAGATGAGCTCGTACAGCAAGACCCAGTCCGTTCCGTCCATCACCCACGCGATCAAAGCAGCTGCCAGTGTGTAGACAGCCATCTCGACCGCTTGCATCAACAAAGCCAATCTGCACAAACTCCGGGCCGTACTTCCGAAGCTCCAGGGCCTTCTTCCTCCGAAGATCATGTCCCACAGGCAGCGCAGGATCAGCATCAGCATCCAGGCGGCAGCCGGAACGCAAATGCAAAGAATGCTAGCGATTTCCTCCAGCCCCTGAAGCATCTGAAGGGATTCCAGGCTCCTGGGACACTCCAATGCAAGATATAAGCGAGCAGAAAGCCAAGTGCAGAAAAGGCTTTGGTCGCGTCCTGTCTGGCCCGACAGTTGGCACAGTCTCCAGGATCCAGCCAGGAAGGCGGTGGCTGTTGATGATGTAGGGTTCCTTGACAGGGATGTGAGCTCCAGACACTAATCCTGCCTTTTCATGCAGACTTGCAGCGACACCTTGGGCAGGGAAACTTGCAGACTTGGCAGCCAGTCCTCGGTCTGCAAGCACAGTGCGGGCCCTCCTATGGTGCTCATCTCGATTGCATCCCGGATGCTGTGCCAAAGAATTCCGTGTCCGCCCGAATGTTGAAGAGAGTTGGGTGTGCTTGGAGCCTCTGAAGTCCTGGCTCATGTGATCTCATGTGCGCATGAGAACATTGGAAATGTGGTGAAATGTGGTGAACCCAGTTCCGGCTCCTTCAGATAACCAAAGCGCTTCTCGCGGGAGTCCGCTTGCCGAGTGCCATTCGGAGCTGGGGACCTGTCTGACATCGCTGTGGATGGCCAAGCACCACTGAAGGTGCTGCAGGCAAGTGGCCGTTAGACCAGACTCCCGACCAAAGGCGTTGAACAAGGAAAGCAAATCTGCGCGAAGCAGTTCCGCATCTGTGCCACGACCGGGAATGGCTTCCTGAGCACGGAACCAGATTTAGGCTGGACAAGGGCATCTGGACGCAACTGCTAAGGAAGCTTCCAGAAATAGCTTCAGCAGCTGGGGTTCACCCGATCCCTCACCTGAGCAACGCTCGCACGATTGCCCTGCGAATGCTCACACGGTGAATCTCCCTGTAATCCTCGAATCTCGCACGCAAGCTGAGGAAACTATGCGTTCGGCGGAAGTCGGCAGACATTCCGGCCAAGCGAAGACGGTCGCCTGATCGCGATAACCTGCCGTTACACCTGGGCAGGGCCAGCAGAGCCATTTCTCAAAAGGTGGATCTTGCAGCAAAGAAGCTCGGCCCAGGATTGGTTCGGCAGGAGAGTTGGAAGCTCCAGTGGCAGAGCTGGTGAGCACAGGGATGCCTGCAAACGATTCCAAAGTAGCGGAAAGGGGCACAGAACGCTCAGCGGCCCTGACGCCGATCCTGCAAGCTGAACAGTATCAACGGCCAGACGCTCTTGGTGATCAGGGTTGCGAAATCCACGCGCTCGCAAGGCAGAAGCAATGCACCTGTCCTGCTCCTGCCAGGTCTGAGCTGACACGTCTCCATAACCAAACTCCACAGAGGGATTCATGTCGTCTCAAGCACGAGCGCCTGCCCGAGCAGATGTCCACCTCGTAAACTGACGCAGGGATCCAGGACCTCGCGCAGCGTGCAGAACTCATTCAGTGGCTCGATTAGATTCGAAGGTCCACCTTCGTTCTAAGAAAATGTACGAAGCGCTTACAGTGAGGTTCGACCAGGCACACGCGAAGCTGGAAGAGTACCGCCCGGACGGCGCTCTCGAGTTGCATCCAGGTCCCTCGAGACAGGATGCATTGCATGGTGCGCGAAGTTAGACAACAAAAATGACTCGAGCACGAAGGCCGCAGCAATGAGATCACGCTGCCTCCAGGCGATTCGGGTGAGGTGTCACCCAAGCATAGTGGCAGCACATCTGCCCAGCGACCATCAATACCTATAGAACGAAACACAAAACACACAAAAAATCCCAAAGGCCCACTGAGATACTGCAGCTTGGGCTGGAACAGGCGAAGGCTCCATGTTCTTGAATCTCGCTACCTTCATGCGATTGCTGCGATCACGTGGCCGCAGCAGGCGCTAGAGCAGTATCTGGGGCCTTCTGAGCAGCGCCAGTCTGGAGCTCTGCACAAGCTGCTGCTGCTTGTTCCATTGCAGGCCTTGCTGCGCTTGCTCAGGGTGCAACAGAAAGCGACTGAGAGTATTATTTTGAAGATCGCACAGCTCGCCTCTGCCTCTCCCCCAAGATCGCCACAGTCCCAACGGTGACAACCAAAGTGCCTGCACACCCCCTAGCGGCCCGAGCATGCAATCACCCTGCACGGTTGGTGCTTGCTTTCAGCTCCTTTCTTAGAGCGCACCTCCAGATCTGTGGCGGGCGCTCCGAGCAAGGTGCGCCCTGGCCGAGAATCCCCGGCACCTCGGCTTCTGCCACTTCCCAGTGAAAAGCCTCCCCTGAATACCTCGGTTAAGCCCCTGAACCATTTGATGAAGCTGCGTTGAAGAAAAGCACCGCAAGCATCATCCATGACTCTTTGCAGCGACTCGTGTCCGTGGGCCAGCAGGGAGTGGGAGTTCACGGCCCCATGACCAACTCTGCACTGCAGATGTGCGCTCAAAGAACAGCTGTCCAGACACTGTCGCGAATTTAGCTTTACCTATCAAGCTCTTCGCTCAACATGCTGTCCCACTGATCGTCTCAAGCATGACTTCTTTCAGAGCGCACTGCCTCCAGTTTGCTTGAGACGGCTGCAGAAAACTGAGGCTGCGGATCAGCTTTTCAAAACCCGAAAAGGTGTGGGGCAGTTCTGCCTGAATGGTCGTGCGTCTAGCAGGCTGTTTGGATGAACTTTTGATGGAATGTTATGAGTTATGACTAGGCGTGCATGCTACGAGTGTACTGGCTTTGCAAGCTTCAGGCTTCTGATGCGCAGATCAGCTCTGGAGCCAGCCTTACTCTTCCCCTTCTCGGCGGCCTCGCAGATTCACATTATCACGGATCACGGAGCCAGAAAACATCTGAGCATGATGCAACCCGCCATTGTTGCTAGTGGTCAGAACAAACCGCAGCCGCGAACCGAAGCCAATCAAGACAACAAAAATTGCATCTGGCGTATTCAGAAGTGGGATTGCATCTAGTGCTTCCCCATTTAAATCTTTGCTTGCAGTCTTTTTGGCGAGCAGTTTCCCTGAAGGGTTCTCATGAAATCTGCAGTATAGGCACGTGGCTGCTTAGCAGAGGCTGCATCGCTTCAACTATTTCGTTGCGAGTAGCAGATCCAGCCTGCAAGGCCAAGGCATCCGCAGGAAGCGCTGTCCCTGTCGCGCCTGTTGTGCCTGTGTCCTGGCACGGAGACTTAGCAGGCAGCGCTTAAAGAAGGCACGAAGGAGATGAAGACAGGTGCCTTGGCAGAGCCACGAGTGGAGGCCTCCCTCATGCGCTGCACACGTGAGCGGGCCAGAATTCCACCTTGAACGGCATCCCATGCAGCACAGCCGTGGCCCCCGGCGCGAGGCCCGGACGCTCGACGGCCTGCAGCTTGATGGCAGCCGCCTCGCGCTCCTTGCAGGGGCAGAGGCACAGCCAAGCCCAAAACCTCTCCGGCATTCTCCGGAGCCTCTCGGCGGGCAGGGGGTAAAGGAAAGCGCGGCCGCTCGTAACTGGGATCCTTGCAACGGGTGTCAACAATTATGAGTTCCGCACAGCATAGCACTTCTTTGTGCGCTTGATGCGTGATCTGCGGCTGCAGCCTGAATCCGTTCGGTAGACCGCGACTGTCGCAGGGAAGTAAGTCTTGACCTTGCCATAATTCCACCTCAGAGCTGAGAGATTTCTAAGTTCAAGCCAACTAAGCGCTGCAAGCACTGACTTTAGGACGGCACGATGTCGCGCCTGAAGCTTTGTGGCCGCGGCATCTTTGACCTTATCTCAGCAATGCTGCAATGTCAAAAGAGCGTTCTCGTCCTAGCGTTCATCCCCAGACGAGACTTTGAAGCGGACAGCCCTGTTGCCCGTGGCCACACGGGATCGCTTCACCTTGAAAAGACTGCTATAAGCGAGCTCGAAGGAAAAAGAAGACCTCCGGCGAGGCTCCGGCCATGGCAGAGAAGTCCGCCTTCTCCGCCTGCGCCTGTTTCCATGTCCATGGAAACCTACCAACCCCCCAACCTCCGGAAAATCTATCCCGGCCCGATTCATCTCCAAGCGAAGCCAATGCGACAACTTTAGCGTTGCCTCTGGAGGTCGATCCAGGTGACCCACCGCTTCCTCGCGACTTCGTTCTTGCGCTGACTCGGTTCGTCGTGCGCTTCACTCAGTGAGCCTTCTCTGCGACGGCTGCTTCAGCTTTGGAAGCCGCTGCGCGCAGCTCTGCCTGCGGGCGTCTCAATCTCCCGAATCTCTTTCAATGATAACAACATGCAGAAAGCGAATCCTACGTTTTCGTTCGCTCTCGTACTCCCAGCACCTGTAGAACCTCACACTCGGTCTCACAAGCTGCCGTTCGCCTCGGCCAAAAGCACTGCATGCGCAGGCTAGATCGCAGGCTGCCGGCAGTGTACCAGAGTAGGAGACCCACATAATGACGACGTCATAGATCATGCTTCGAAACTCCACCCAACGCGAATGGAAGCAAAACAAGCCCTGCTCTGAGTGCTTGGCGCTCTCCGCGATTCGACAAGCTCCTGCCATGCTCAAGGTTTCGACGTGGTGCCGTGTCCGTTGCTATGAGGGACTGGCCTGGCCTCTTGGCAGCGCAGTTCTGCCTCCGCGCGCTGCATCTCCTCATGGATACGCCTCGTCGGCCAGCTGGACTCTGCTGACAACTTGCTTCGTGGCACGTGCGCGATGGAGCTCTCTGCTTCCTCCCAGCAACTCTCTTTGAACATTTCGCTGAGCACGCCACGCGACATCGCCTGGGTTCAGTAGCCATTCAAGGAACGCAAGGGCATGCAAGGGCAACTCAGCCTCCAGTAGTTACGAGCTTCTGAGACAAGTGCCGTTGTCCGAGGGCACGTTTGCGGTTTCTGCCTTCCAACAAGAGCTGGGCTGAGCGAATTCGGCCGAAATCGCGAATCGGTGAAATCCGTGCTCTTGGTTAGTAGATACCCCTATAGCTAAAGGTTTTTTCCGGAGAGCCCGGATCTGGCTGGCTCAGAGAAAACCCCCTATATTTAAGGGAAAAAAGCTCGTCCCGTAACTTCTCGAAGTATTTTTTGGATTCGGCGACGTGAGTCAGAGGCCCAAAACTTATTATTCTACTTAGAATTTACAACTTTGCTGCAATGAGAAGCTCGATAGACACTTATCCGCCGACCCCAGCCGGGGGCGGCGTTAGTGAAGACCCATAGTGTCGTCGCATTCCCTGCTTTGCCCTAAGGGCTCACCACCCCTGCTGCCCCCAGTGCCCCCACCGCCCACACCGACCTCACCCCCCACCGCCCCCACGCGCTCTCACCGCCCGCAGCCCATGACCCTACCTTGAATTGCCGTGTTACCTTGAATTGCAGCGTTTGCCCTCACCGCCCCCACCCCACCTTCCCCACCGCCTCACCCACCTGACCCCGCATCGCCATCACGAGTTCTCACCCCCCCTGGCCCATGATCCTGCCTTGAAGCACGCGTTCTCACCCCCCGCAGCCCATGACCTCATCCCCCTAGCATGCCCCAACCCCGCCGCCCTCACCGCCCCCACCACCCTCACCGCGCCCCCAGCTACCTCCTACACTGACCCCCCTAGAGGACCGGCTCCAGTGCCCAAACCCCCTACACTGATCCCCCTAGGCCCTAGCCCTTACCTTGGAAGTGTAGTTTTTAAGTCGAACGGCGCACTCGGGCCTCTGCTGCATTCACACGTCACAGCGTACACTTCTCGTTACACACGCTTCACTACGAACACACGTGTTCTGCACAACAACGAAGCACGATCGGAAATTGTGCACATTTGTGCACATTAAGCAAGCTCAGACTTACCATGTGGCAGTTCAGGGTTGGTGCATAAAACCGATGGAAGTCCAGGCGCTGCCGTGCCTCCGAGCCAACATCCTCACTGATAGGAGCTGCCTCGCCAGGTTGAACTGAGACATTTCAACCAATCTCTGAATCGGTCCGAAATGCCTGTTCTTCGTCAGCTTCGTGCTGCTTGCGCCTGGGTTCGGCCCGGCCCAGTTTTATGAGTGACAATTTGACTTATTAGTTGCGGTGGGATGAGATGCGTCACGGTTAACCCCAACACAGAACCGAAAGCGCGACAAGAAATTCATCGCCTGCTTGGCACATCATGCCATAAATCCGACTTTACAACAGCTCCAATTTCAGCAATTTGATTTCAGGTTAGGCATGGCTTTCAGAAGTGAGGAACCCTTGGGGTGTGGACTAACTGGAGGCGGACAGGCTGTGGACAGCTAAACTCATCAAACATCAAGGCCTCGTTCGGGTGCCTCGTCGCCCACCCATGCCTGCGCCCGTCCAATACCTCCTATGGCCTGCAGCTGAACTAAGAGGCCCAGCCACGGTGATCGTTTGTGCATTGTCGAAACCTGGCTCCCCTTTCGTGGTCTCAGTGCTGCCCTCAAATGTGCCTTCAGTTTACCCCAAGCCTAAGCTTCAATCTGCATATCGAATGGCTCGGCTGCCGGCAGCTGCTGGAGCACCATCCAAGCCTTGGCCTTCGCCGACTTCACTTCTTGAACCTCCTGGCCTCGTGGCAAACTGCACATGCTGCAAAAGCAGAAGCAGGAGCAACCATGGAGCAACAATTCATCTCGCTTTCCAATCCGGCCTAGGTCCAAGGACAGAGACTCTGCTTCTGCGCTTTCCGCCTCAACACTCCCCAGAGCTGATCCGTAAACGGATACGGGCAAGGCCAGGCACCCCAAGCCTTGGCAGCGCCAAGCTCGTCACTGAGACTCTGAAGCCGGTCTGCATCAGCAGCCAGAGAAGTGGCCGCAGCACCTCGCACTCGCTGCGACAACGCAGGTACCGGCCACGGCACGGGACGGACCTGTGAGAGAAAGGGAGGCGCGTGGCTGTCGAGTCGCCAGATCTGCCATGCTGTCGAGTTATGTCGGGGTGTCGATGCACGGTGCACATGACTGCCCGGTCCTGCTAGGCCCTGTGCAGCTGCTGTTGCTTCATCGCCTTTCACAAGAGTGGCATCCAAACTCGACCGTGCGGCCGCACACAGGCAGCAGTCTGCGCAGTCAGAGTCCGCCACTCAGGGAATTCAGCTTCTGCATAGCTGTCCTGATCGAAAGAACTGTGAAAAGGTGTTTCAAGCATGGTTCGTAAATGGCAGCGTTCAGATCGGGCAGCTTGAAACCTAGCAAACCCAAACCCCTGTTGTTGATCAGACAAAACCCATCAATGATGGTGCTACTTGGTCGGAGATTCCCTCACTCTCACAACCTGCGAACCATGGCCGTGCACAGTCGAGGCTCGACACAGCCACACCAGCAGCTACGGCTTCATCCGCAGCCCTCTCTGCGGCCAGGCGCCGGTCCTCGGAACTCACGAAGAGAGAGTACGAAGGCACATCGAGATGTCGACTTACGTCCGCCATCCAGCTCCTCTTTTCATGGTCCACTTGCAAAGCAGCCGTTGGCTGCACCAGCATTTCAATGCAAAGCAAGCTCACTAACTTGTCAATAATACAAGAACTGTAAAAGGGGCAGATCCTCGCGTTTGATGATGAAGACTGACGCGCTACGGAATATATGGTCTTGGAGACAAAGATTTGGAACTTCAACAGCAACTGCTGAACCTTGGTTCGAAGATGTTCTAAGTCTTAGTGTCTTAGTGATATGAGTCAGACCTGCGCATACCGACAGGTGCCTTATCTTGACCGCGCGGTCAGCGTTATCGGAACATATCGGAACCCAGGCAAAGCTGTGAGATTGCTGCAAGCCAGCATTTCGTCACTGAGCACCAGGCTTCGAGCATAGCGCTCACCTCCGGCATCTGCTGACCGATGGCCGAGCGCTGGGCAACGGCGTCAGCCTGTGTTGCGGGAGTGAAGTACAGGAAAGAAACGCAACACACACACACACACACATCCAATCTGCAGCTGAGGGGAGTGCACTGCCCTGCTCCGCACGTGCCAGCGCCTGCCGCTTCCGTTCGATCCTGGTTCCACGTCCACCGTCGAGCTTTGGTAAGAGCTGTGAGCTTTGGGCCCCCGACTCCAGCCGGAGACTGTCCAGGTCTTCGGAAGTCATCGCCTGCACTGATCCGAGTCGTGAATCCTACAGAGAGGTGTGCGCGGCCTTGAGCTCGTTTGTGCAGCTATCGAGCTCAGATTCTGCTTGATGCAGGATGCCCTGACAAGAAGCTACACTTGCAGGATCTGCGCACTCATGCAGGCCGTTGACACTGTCACAAGCACCTCTGTCGCAGAGAAGCTTTCTTCGCAGCCCGAAAGGTCAAGGTCTCTGTGCGAGAGAAGATCCTGCACGTGACACGAATGCCCAAATCGAAGAAGGAAACGTCATTTTGCTTGCTTCCTCGGCTTCCTCCAGCTCCTGTCGCAGGCTTGCAGCACAGGCCTTGAGGTACGCAGGGCACAAAGGGAGTTTGGTTCAGAAGCCATGCAAAACTGGGCCTCTTCGACTTCGAAATTGCGCCTGGAGTCGGCCAGCTTCGTCCGATCGCCTTGCGACTGGAGGCTCGTGGACATCCAATTGGAGCTTGCTGGAGGAAACAACACGGGCACGAGGCCCTTGCAGTGAACCTTCTCCTGCAACCTTGGTCGATTGAAGCCACCTCTTTCTTTCTGGCAGCACAGTTTGTAACTCCCGCTAGGCACCGGGCCGCGTGAGCTTGGCCATCATGGCGGTGCGCTTCCAGCTCCTGGGTCTGCAAGCAGAAGCCCATTGGCTTGCTCTGCGGCGGGAACCAACATGAAGCAAGTAGTTGCAACCCATGAGGATTAGGCGATGTCTCGACTTTGGCCGATGAGTGCTGCGCTTGGTCGAGCTCGGCCTAAATGCATGGCCAAGACAGGCCAAGTATCACCGCACTCCGGCGCAAGCCTTGAGGTCAATGTGGTTCATCTGAAGACTGCGGTACCGCCGTCTCTCCTTTCAGCCGCGCTTTGACAGAGCATGGCTAACAACTGCGATCTTATTGCCGCAGCGGGGGCATCAAGTTCTGATGTCAAACAGCGTTCTGTCCGTCCTCCTCGATCTCATCACCCAGGCCCTTCAAAGCCTGTCACCGATGCAAAACACATGATGCAGCTTGACGACTTCAAGAGCCCAAGAAGCACACACGTGCACACGCACGAACACTGCATCAAGCAAGCTGCATGCCTCTTGATGGCTGAGTGACGCCACGTTTTCATGCTGCATCTCCTGCTGCCAACATGCACGCTGTCTATTCGCCAGATTCTGCTTTCCATGCCAAATCAATGTGCTTAATACGAGTTGTGTTCATGCACACAGGAAGGAAGGAAGGAAGGAAGGAAGGAAGGAAGGAAGGAAGGAAGGAAGGAACAGGAAGGAAGGAAGGAAGGAAAAGGAAGG